AGAGCCAGAAAGTAATATATACCTCCTGGTGCAGCAGCAGCCAGATAATTGGAACACTGAAGGGTCCCATATGCATAGAAGTCCACCAGCAGAGCCTACAGGATCCACAGACATGAATTCCATATTTCTGTACCCCCAAAGCTTTCTAGCAACATTTTCAGAGTCCACAGCTTGCTTGGTTTCTTGGAAAAAAACAATATCAACATGCTTGTCCTTTAGCAGTCTTTTAATTCTTCCCTTCTTCTCAGATTTACCCAAACCCATAATGTTCCAAGATAATAGCTTCATAAATAAACAGAATGACAAACTCAAGGCTCCCATGAGCAGAAGCTTATTTCTGATCCTGCCCCTTATCAGAGATTCTGTCCTTATCTTTAAGCTCTAAATCAATTATCTTGCTCAACACAGTGTCTTCTTTCCCATTGTAGTTGATGCCTAAGCATTTCCCCAAGTGTATAGTGGCTTTGGCCTCCTCAAATAGATCATTATTCGAAGATGAGCTACCTTCAGATAGATCAGATTGAGCAAAACCAGAAACTGCTGGACTGAAAACAACTGACTTAGAGGAATGCTTGTGAGCTGCTGCAGTTCTATAGCCATGGAATCTAGCAAAGCTGGTAAAGCCCTCTATATGAGCCTTCTTTTTCCCTTTTTTCTTTTCAGGCTGCAGAGACTTTGTATTAAGGATAGGGGTTTTAGCTTTGGCCGAATGAATGAGGTTCATGGGTAATAACCCAGTAGGTCTTGACTTGGAAAGGGGACTAACAGAATGCACATGGGCTAATATGCCGTTACTTAGAGGGTTGAAATTATCAGAGTCAATGGGCTGGGGGGATAGGGCTGGCTTCAGTCTATGTGTTAACACTTTTGCCAAAATTTTGTACAAGGAGCTTACAAGACTAATGGGTCTGTAATCAGATAGGCCGGAGGGATTTTCCAACTTAGGAATTAAACTAATGAAAGTGCTATTAATCCCATAAGTCAGTTTGCTATTTGTGTGGAAGTCTGCAAAGAATTGCATGATCTCAGGCTTCATAGTCTTCCAAAATTTCTGATAACACAACAGATTGAAACCATCGGGGCCTGGGGCTTTGTTATTATTACAATCCTTAATTGCAGCCAACACCTCAGCTTCACTGAATTCTGCAACCAGATGATGAGAAACATAGTCTGCCTCAATGGTGTTGAATGGCCCTCCCAAGACGGGTCTTTTGACCCAATCCTCAGCAAACAACTTCTTGAAGTGTTGGTAGACCTCTAATTGAACCCTGCTAGGGTCCTCATAAGACACGTCGTTAACTACTATAGAGCTGATCATGTTTCTACTTTGTCTGGTATTAGCAAAAACATGGAAGAATCTAGTATTCTTATCCCCATTTAGAGTCCAGTTCAATCTGGATTTTTGATGCCAAATCCACTCCACCATTCTGAGCAAATGCCACATTTCTCCTCTGACCACTCTTCTTCTTGACCGCCCAGAATCATCTAATAGTCCATCCTCTGCTAAGATGTCTAATGTATGCAATTCCGCCTCTAGAGCCTTGAGTTTGGATGTGACATGTCCAAACACTTCAACATTCCATTTTTTTAACTCTGTCTTTAGCTGCTTTAATTTTTGAACAATTCTGAATCCGGCCCACCCTGTAACAGTAGTGCTGCTCCAAATGTTAACAAAGAACTTAGAGAAACTTGGATGGAGAGTCCAGGCGTTGAGAAACTTGAAAGGCTTGGGACCCCAGTCTCTTTCATCTTCCATCAACAGCAGAGGACAGTGATCAGAAACTAGACGAGGCAGGCCCCATAACTTCATTCTGAAGCTAATCAACCATTCTGGGCTGAGGAGTACTCTGTCTATGCGGCTCCATTTCTCGGCTTCCTGGGCATTGCACCAGGTGTATTTCCTACCATGAAGAGGTAAGTCATGGAGCTCACATTTCTCAATAAACTCATTAAAGTGCTTCATCCCCATGTCTCTCCTGGAGCAGCCAATCCTCTCACCTATATGTCTAATTTCATTGAAGTCTCCACCCATACACCAAGGTGCAGGAAAGTGATCCTTAAGCTTGACTATACCCGTCCAAAAAGATGTTCTAGCAGAGGGGTTATTTGGTGCATATATGTTTATCAAAACACAATCAAAGGAATTATACAAAGAGCCAGAAAGCAGTATATACCTCCTATTGCAGCAGCAGCCAGATAATTGGAACACTGAAGGGTCCCAAATGCAAAGAAGTCCACCAGCAGAGCCTACAGGATCCACAGACATGAATTCCATACTTCTGCACCCCCAAAGCTTTCTAGCAACATTTTCAGAGTCCACAGCTTGCTTGGTTTCTTGGAAAAAAACAATGTCAACATGCTTGTCCTTTAGTAATCTTTTAATTCTTCCCTTCTTTTCAGGTTTGCCTAAACCCCTAACGTTCCAAGATAAGAGCTTCATAGATAAACAAAATGACAAGTTCAAGGCTCCCAAGAGCAGAAGCTTATTTTTTATTCTGCCCCTTGACAGAGATTATGTCCTTATCTTTAAGCTCTAAATCAATTATCTTGCTCAACACAGTGTCATCTTTCCCTTTGTATTTGATGCCTAAGCATTTCCCCAAGTGTAAAGTGGCTTTGGCCTCCTCCAATAGATCATTGTTCGAAGATGAATATTCACCCTTAGAGGTCTATGAAATATGGATAAAGGATATGATAAGATAGGAATACTATAACATTTAAAGAAAAAAGAGAAAATTACCCTTAGTTGTAATTTGAAAAATTAGTACATATGGATGGAAAAGTTTATAATCTTAATTATCAATATTGATAAAGTTTGTCATCAATTTGTAATTAATTTTCAAATTTTATCCTTATTTGAAATTTCTCCTAAAAAAATGTTAATTAATAAAAGGTTCAAACTTATGGGGTCATATATTATTTGGTCTAAGGTTTAATATTTTTTGGTCATAAAACATGCGTTGAAATGTTGTCAAAAAAAGCAATCAGCGTTGGACAAGTTGCAAGCGGTTGGCAATAGTGGCCGGTTGCTGCAGCTAGTGGCGGTGAGATAGACAAATAGGTGAATAGATAAATGATACATATACAAACATGTGGCATTTGGATATATATGTGACACATGTACAGATAGATGACATTTGGATATACGACAGATGTGTATCCTTTTGGATAGATCAATGTCCTTTTGAGCTAAAAAGATTTAAGCTTGGACCAATAGGCATAAAAATTACAGAAATAAACGTTTGGCTTGAGTACTATTAAAAAAATAAGATATCAATATGGTTAAGATATGTTCCTAAAATATTTGTTTATATAATTTTTAGTATTATATTATATAGAGTTAATTACACTTAGCAAATGCCAGGCCCAATGCTAGGCCCAAGACTAGTAAGAGGTTCATTAGCCAAGTTTTCGTCCAAAAAGATATCAGGACCAATACCATTATTAAAATCATACCTGCTAATATGATCAGAAGAGAAAGCTTGCTGAGCACCCCTCAACTTGCCATCATTACTTTTTGAGTTTAGCTCTGACCCATCCATCGAAAATCCCTCAACGCATGCTGCTTTGTCTCTGCTAGAACCACCTTTACAGGGGGTCTCCTCGACAACAGTTCCCACTTCTTCAGCTATGTGACTGTCAGGAAGCTCTTTCCTCTGCACAACCTCATTTGTGCAAGCCAGGTCAGCACCAATCAACGCTCTCCTTTCTGCCACCTCATCACCATCAATCTTCACCCCAGCCGCTGCTGCTGGAAGGATCCTGCCCTCATCACTGAAGCAGGTTTCTGTGGGGGTGGATTCATTCAAGCCGAAGGGCTTCAATCTACTAGAATCGGCTAGATGGTCTTCACAAACAAGTATGGGATGAGGATAACCCTTACACTCTAGATTAATAGTTTTGTTAATGAGCTCCATGCATCCAGTAGCCACTCTAATCGTAGCATAAGCGAAGGATTTTGGGTGACAAACGTTACCGTCTATGTTGAGTATAGTGCCCCAGATATTGCCAATGCTGTTGAGAGTAGCCCTACTCCAAAGATGCAAGGGAATACCATAGCATCTCAACCACACACACCGCTCTTGTTGCAGATGATAATCTGGCCTCCATTCCATCACAGATTGGCTCCCGTCCTTGAACCACTCTTTGAGCTTGCCAATGTTTGATTGCAATTCACTTGTAGATTTAAAGGAGATAATTACATCTCTACCTCCTCCTTTTCTGACTTCTATTTGCTCCATCCCTTTCTCCTCCAGGACTTTGAGGATGTTGTGAGTAGACTGTTCATTGTTGAATCTGACAATAGCACTTTCGTATAGCCAGCCATTGCCCTCTTCTTTGGCTTTTATGGTTATGTTTGTGTTTGTGTTACCTTCCACTGCAGAGGTGACACCCTTTAGGACTTCAGCAAAAGATCTGTGCCCAACCAGTGCATCTTTACCCTTGAAATTGATCATATCCGAGAATCTTCTGAGAGGCTGAAGCTTGTCCTTACTCTGTTCACTTCTACTATTTCTGTCGTAAGCAGCCAGTTTGACCTCTAGCATAGAGTCATCCACCAAGAGCCCATTTCCTTTTTGGATTGCGACAGATGCTGCAATGCTACAGTTATACCGCACAAACCCGAATCTTGAGTTGGTCACTTTCCTTCTTTTGAAAGGAATGTAAGTATCCTTCACAATCCCGAATTTGGTGAAGAGTTTGTACAGAGCTTTGGCGTCCATAGTTGACGGGATGTTGTCCACAAAGACAGTGATAAGACCCTGCTGTGCTTCCTTTTTTTGAGCTCCACCTCCATTCCATTGCCTCACTACCGGAATCCAGCCACCATCTCTTCCTCTGTTCACCATCTCTGTCCACTCTCCAAAAGCTTCAATTACTTGCTCAAATGAGCTAATTCTTCTAAAAACATGGTAAAATCATGAACTATAACAATAATATGAACATGCATATACCAAACTCCATGTAATCAACCTCAAAATGCCACAATGTAGACATGCATGCATGATATATGCTACAATTCAACAATTTAAGCTAATTTTGACTCCAATTTTCAATATAACAAGAATCAAGCAAGAATTAACTTAAAGACAAGTTTAAGAAGGTGGATTCTCTACCTTAGACCTTGAATATCAAGTGTAGGAAGCTCAACTATGAAATCAACCTTCAATTTCTTTAATTCACCAAGCAATTCACAAGATGGAACTCAATTTCTCTCACTCTCTTCCTCTCTTCTCTCTTGGTCTGTTTGAGGCTAAGGAAAT